TTGTGGTAGAAAACGATAACATTTTTCTCGGCTTAGATGAGTACACGACCATGGATTTCATTTCTGTACCGTTTTAAATTTTGTAGTTCTTCAAATATAAGTGGTTATGAACCTTTCATATGAGGTACACTTTCCTAATTATAAGGTGACGAGCGCTCTTTGGGCCTAAAGTGTACCGCCTTAGTGTTGCATCACGGCTAGTGCAATGACTTGAAATGCTCAAATCATAGTAATTTTGTGCCAATTTTTCGAAAATTCTCTTTCATTCGAGTGGTATGAATTAACCATCTGTAGTTGCCTACAGCTTGTGTGTCTAAATTGTAATATATTTGAGAAAGTTTTCGAGCACCGAATCTTTTGCTGCTGCTGCTCCTCAACTATGGAATTCATTGCCCTACGCGATTAGGGGTAGCCCCTCAGTAGCATCTTTTAAAAAGACACTCAAGACATTTTTATTTCAGAAAGCTGTGATTTTACGTGCTTTTTAATCTCGTTTTTAGTAGGTTTTACCATTATGCAGTGTTTTTACGATTTAAGTAGTCTAGGTAATTTTTATAGTTTAGTGTTGACAAAATTGTTTTCACTCTTGTTCGTAGGTTCATGCACTTTTTGCATGTATACTTTGTGCAGTCTTAGTGTTTTTTTTTTAATATTTTTATTTTTAAGCGCTGATGATAATAGCAATATTAATATCGGCGCTATTTAAGTATTACTATTATTATTATTATTATTATTATTAAAGATTACCGTTAGAAATATTGGTAAAGTGAAGCTTATTCCTTCACCTATTTCAAGTAGCTCAGTTGTTGTTCAATTATATAGGGATAAGCATGCACTCTAAATATACTCTGCCTTGACGGCATACGTAGCAATAACTTTGCTTTTTTTTCGTGAAAGCGCTCGACGTTCTGTCAAGGAGCTGAGTTTGAAAGGCTAAATTTCTTGTCCTTAACGAGGAGAAACATGGCCTTTTTTATTACATTCAGATTGATCATCTTGTTTATATTTTCATGTGTTAATATAAAATTTAAAGGCATATCAATTTGGGAGCTTTAAATTGCGTATTTCAAAAATGGTCTCTACAAGACTATCCTATTATCTATTTTTAGACATAATAGAGATATGGGGAGACACGATCGCTTGCTACTGCAAGACCTGTTCATTTTTACCTAAAAGACTGTTCTATCTCATGCACTTAATGTAAGGAACAACCGGTAATATTAATTTCAACTTGAAAGGATCAAATTGGCATTTCTTCAAAATTAAGGGGGGAGAGCTATTTGGGCCGGGCCACCTCCTGGATTCAGCACTGAACCTATTAACTGACTTTGTTAATAATTGAAAGGAGAATTCCCTAAACGATTCATTCGTTTATTTGAATATTAATAGCTTAATGCAGTATCCGAACGTGAAGGCTAGAAACTGGAGGCTAGCTTTTAAGATCATCAAAAGGATTTTTGCCTTGTTTTTGAGCGGCGCTCTACATTTAGATGGAAAACAACAGCCAGAGTGCCATACAATCACAATTTTTGATCAGTGCAAGCTTTTATGCAATGTTATCTCAATCCACCCCCAAATGACCGCACGCAGTGCTAACTGGAGGCTCTTCAAACAGTGTAAAAGATTCTTGCCTTGTTTATATGTGGTAATTGACATTTGTATGAAAACAAATCCAACCCTTGACAATTGGAAAACAGTTGCAAGAGTGTTATCATTTAAAATGGTGTGAATCGGTGCCCATTCTCACCCCTTAAAACGCCCAAATGCAAAGAAGACAGATCCAGCACAGGACACCCAACAACGGCTTCGCCATATTTGGAGGAAAGGGTCACGTGACACCAAAGATAACATGACAGCAAAACAGATGTCTTCTTCCACGATATCTACAAATTTTATTTACCAAAACACTTAAAACCGGTATTTTAGAAGCATTTCCACTGTCAGCCTCGTTTTCATGTAGGCCATTTTAGGGCCGGCGCAGAACTCATGTCCAGCGTTGAATTTGGCTTGGCTCCATATCCAGAAATGTTAGTCTTAGGGTTGGTTGTAATCTGGCAAAGTTTCATGCTTTTATCATAAAAGTGAACAATTCGCTATATTTTTGGTCGATAACAGCTGGACTATTGGCTTCGCAAAACATCCTTGACATTCAAACTTGCGCGCTTGTCGCCTTCGCACGAGGTGCTTGAGCCGGAGATATCCGTTTGAGGGTTTCGAAAAAAATCCAATGATTTAGCACTTTTTCTGCACTGATTATCGGAAAGTTCCGATTCGTCTACAGAACGTTTCATAGCCGACGGTTTTTGAAGAACTTACATGGAGAATTTGCGACGACAAAACCCTAAACTGCTACAAAAGACAACCTTTCCGCTCGGTCCTATATCGTCCGTGAAAGAACTACTGTATTCCATCGCTTTATTCTCAGTCTAGTAGTTCATTAACTTTTGTTTACTAATACCCAGTTCCTAGCGGCTGTAAAATCAAGAATAAGGGTCCCTAATAAAAAGGAAAACGGCCGAAGGACGGGCTCTTTGTTTCGCCTTCGTCCGCCATTTTTTTCTTTTTTTCTTCGCGGTTCACAGTGACAGTGACATATGACACTCTGGCAAATATGACACTTTTCGCGGGAAACTCTGTTCTATTTATAAATCTACTCGGGAAAGGGTTGACTCAAGAAATTAATGGAGATGGAGGCCTTATTTGATGGGCTCCTGTTGCTAACTTGTTTATTTTTATTCATAGTGGTGGAATTTAAAAGTTATTATACAGCCCCCACTTAAAGATGGTACACATTTTTGTTTGTTACGAAAGTCTTTCAAAAGGGTACAATGTTCCGCATGAGTTTATGTTTCAGTCTTACATGAGATTCTGTCTCACGCAATGGTCGGCGACAAGGTTTTGTGGTAGCCTGAGAGTGTACAACCACCCCCTCCCCTCAGAAAAAATAGCCCCTTGGCAGCCCAGTTAAAAATCGCCTCTCGGCGATTCTTGTTCTGTGGGATGCCTGTGGCACTCCCACGGTAAAAATCCGGTTCGGTTGTACCCAAAATTGCAAGGCCAGCCAATAGGATTGCGTAAAATCTTTATCGGTTATCTCTTCTTCTAAGCCGACCAATCAGATTGTACAAAATCTGTATCGATTTTTAGTCGATTTTCTTCCTCTGAAGAACGTTGAAATCAGAACGTTCCTTGCCAAATTTGTCGCGCTTGATTTTTCCCACTCGTGGTTTAGGATGGCTTGTTAACCAGCGAAATCCTTCGGGATACTGGCAAGTCACGAAAGGCGACCTAAGCCAAATTATTTCTTTCCTTCATCATTCGGTCTAGCTTTTTCATAAGGTTTTAGTAGCGTCTGGTTGCGGGCCATGATTTCCGATAGATTTTTCTATTCGGAGTTCCTGGGAGTTCGCCAGTTTTTGCCGAGCACAGCTAGAGTTCAGTTTTTTTTCTTTTCTTATCAAAAACACCTTGACGATGGGAGGTTAAATCGTGTAAATCTCAACTCGTACTCTTGACGATTGGCGTTGAAATCGCGAAAATATTGTCCTCGTCGATCGACGACTCGCTTTTGGCATGGATTGGACTTCTGGATGGGACACGGATCAGGACATGAGTAAACTTATTATACCTTGGAATCAGGGATAATCATTGGAACTATGTTAACTTTGAGACCTTGGAAACACATTGCAATTAATTTTTAACCGTATCAAGAGCATCTTGGAATATTAAACTTTCATCTTGTATTAAAACATTGGAACTTTATCGAACTTTGTAACCCTGGGTTCTACCCTGGATAAGGCAAGCGGATGTTTTGTTTTGTTTTGTTCCATTAACCTAGATAGAACGCCATTGTCCTTCCATAGACCAACGCATCCCACGGAAACGATTTTAGGCGTCTTGTTGTTTGTATTTTAGCCTCCCACGCAGACGTTCTTTGGGGTTCGTCACGCGTTCCCTGTTTGTGGGAAAGCACTAGATATCGTCGACCTAAACCGGATGAGTCATCGATATGTCGGCGTCTTACAAAATGACTGAAATGATCCCCTCGACTTTCGCACTCTTGATCGATCGCAGCGAGGATGTTATATTTAAGCAATAGAAAACGTTTTCCGTGTTTGCATAACCTGATATAAACACGAGAGGGGTTGGGAGAATTCGAGACAGTTATGCAAACCCGAGACGAAGTCGAGGGTTTGCATATCTGTCGAGAATTCTCTCAACGCCTCGAGTGTTTATATCAGGCTATGCAAACACAGGAAAAAAATTTCTATTGCTCTTATAAAATAACTTTCCTGAGAAAAAAACGCAAAACTCTTTGTATGGCTTTGATTAATGCAGATATGCAGATATGCAAACCCTCGACTTCGTCTCGGGTTTGCATATCTGTCGAGAATTCTCCCAACGCCTCGAGTGTTTATATCAGGCTATGCAAACACAGGAAAAAAATTTCTATTGCTCTTATAAAATAACTTTCCTGAGAAAAAAACGCAAAACTCTTTGTATGGCTTTGATTAAAAGAGAAATTCTTACCAGTCGCAAAATCTTGTCCACGAAGTCTTGCACGCGTAATCAGCCCTTGTTTTGCAAAAAGATGCTTGCAAAATACGGATTTTTGTCGCTTAAAATGTCTGCTTAAGCGAAGAAAAATTGACTCACCTTCTTTGTAACGATTTTCCATGTTTCAGCCGACGAAGAAATGGGTAAATAAAGTAAACTTGTCCAGTTTTGAACTCGACAACTTTTTCAAAATTCGTGCTTGCGTAAGCCAAACAACTTGACGCCACAACCATGGTTACATACTCTTATGTAAACACTCCTCTCGGCCAATCAGAGCGCGCTTACTATCTTAGTTATTTTATAATTGAGTGTGGGGCAGGAACGCGTGACGAACTCCTGAGAACGTCTGCTTGGGAAGCTATGTTTATATCGGCAATATCCTTAAAATGGGGGCTGTGATTGTAGGGGCGAAGAAAGCTTCTCACGAACCTTTTTTCATTTTACCAAGCGCGTCAGAGAGAGTTGAGTCAAAGCACATTAATGTCTTGTTTGTTTGCGACGAGTGGAATTCAAGTGAGGGAGGTTTAGCTACGTTCAACAGAAAATTTGCCATAAATCTTGCTAAAGCATCAAGCGAGGACTTCGCGATTCACTGCTATGTTTGCCAGAGCAATGAATCGGACAGAGAAGATGCTAGAAAAAATGGTGTGAATATAATAACAGCAAAGAGTATACCGGGGACAAGTGACCGCCTGGAATGGCTGAGACTTCCTCCTTCGGAGCTCCCACATCCTGATGTTGTGATCGGCCATGGACGAAAGTTTGGCACCCCTGCTTATTCCATTACACAAATTACAAAGTGCAAATGGATACAGTTTGTGCATGTATTTTGCGAAGACCTTGGAAAGTACAAACAAACGGAAACAGATGCAGTAGAAGAGAATGAGAAGAAGCATAAAGAGGAAATCAAGCTCTGCAAAGAATCAAACGCCGTTGTTGCTGTTGGCTCACGACTTCAGCAAAAGTACAGCAGATGTCTCCCAGACACGAAAGTTCACATCATCACTCCTGGAATTTTGGATAAATTTGTCAGTCTTCCAGATCAGAAACTTGCCAATGTTTCGCATAGTCCTGACGAGTTTAGTGTCTTTGTCTTTGGAAGAGGTTCTTATGAAGATCTTTCCCTCAAGGGTTATGATATTATTGCCAATGCGTTAGGATCTCTCGGAGAGAAGTTTAAGATGACATTTGTAGGCTCACCCGAAGGCCAACATAGAATTATAATGGACTGGTTTCTACAAAATACAAGCATAACAAGGAGGCAGTTAACAGTACGTGGTTACTGTAATCAAGACGAGGTGAAAGAAATGTTCTATGCTGCAGACTTGGTTGCTATGCCTTCTCGTACCGAAGGCTTTGGTCTGATCGCCTTAGAAGCCATTTCTGCTGGTGTTCCTGTTCTTCTTACTAGTGAATCTGGAATAGCTAAAGCGTTAGAGCAAGTTGATGGTGGAAAGTCTGTCATCATTGAATCAGAAGATCCAAACGAGTGGTCAGAAAAAATCAGAACTCTGTACGGGAAAAAGCCGGAAGAGAGACTCAACACCGCTATTAAACTCAGAGAGAGCTACAACAAGACATTCCCTTGGGACACCCAGTGTGAGAAATTCAAAGACATCATTTTGAGGATGATGAGTGACAGCTACTGTGCTGATAATGTTAAAGGTAGTGTATCGATCTGATCGATGTTATTTTAATGCTTTTATATGTAGCTTATAGGCCCTTTCAGTATTTAAAGGAGCTGTGTCACGAAATTCACCCAAATTAGGTAATTACAAAATGCCTGTGGAATCAAGAGAAACATAAAAATAACCGCTTAAAACATTAAAGGAAGGTTAAAATAACACAACAGATACGACAGATTCCACGGATGGGCAAAACTGAAGAAGATTGTGTTAGGCCAGGTTCAGACGCCGATTTGAGAGCCGAACAGTCACGTTATCCGCGAAAAATGACATTTTAATTGATTAGTTACATTTAAGGACTGTTTTTTCTTTCGTGGTTCCAGCATTGTTTATTTTATTACATTTTGGCCAGGCGTACAAAGCTTTATTCAGTTTTATTCCTTTACGTCAGAAGGCATGTATTAGATTATTCTTTTCCTAAGCACGTTTGCAGATGTCTCCTATTTCCTTAACAAAGGAAACAGGAGACTTCTGCACGCAGGCAAGTGCCTAACGCCACGCGTCTACGACACTGGGAACACGACACGAACCTAATTCGAATTATGGCCAACCCAAATTATTAAGAGCGGGTGAATTGATTCAGACGCCGATCTTAATTGCAGCTGAACTAAGTTCAAAAGGCGGAAAATGCTCATTTTGCAGGGGCACCCAACGGCAATTTTCGGAAAATATCTGTTCGGAAGACGATTTGAGATCTAGAATTTTCGGAACATTTGTTGTAAAATTTCTTGCTTGCCTCCCTCTCCTAGGATTTTCGAACATCTAAAAAATGGTATAATTGGCCATTTTTAACGGATTTTTACCCTGAAAAGATCTCCTAGAATTTTCGGTAGCCTTTTTTCTGGCTGAATTTTCGAAAAGGTAAGTTTTGAACCCTATAATTTTTCTGATCACTAGACTTTCAGCTAAGAAATCCGAACCTATATCTCCCGTGTAAATACTAAAATACGTTTAACAATGCTATATTTAAGTGGTTTTGAACTATATTCTCGTTGGGTGCCCCTGATTTTGGACAAACTGCTTACAGAATACGTTATAATAATTTATGCATTAGGTTCGGTACATGAAAAGTTCGGCCTCCGAATCAAAGCCGTTTCAAAGTCGCTCCAAAGGCGAAATTCCCGGCTGGGCTAGGCGTGAAGAACGGCTGAGCCGTTTCAGATTGAAACAGGCGTTCCTAATTGATTCAGACGCCGAACTTTTCATGTACTTAATTCAATGTATTAGGTTCGGCTCATGAAAAGTTCGGAATCTGAACCGGGTCTTAACGTCTCTGTTACATGTCCTAAAACTGACTATTTAATGCGTTGCAATCACTAAATATGTACAAGGTGTGCAAAGGTGTAAGGTATACAAAGGTCCGTGCGACTATATGGTAATAACATGTTTGTGCAACGAAGCATGTGATACATAGTTGTGTACCAATTGAAAAGGACTGAAATTAGGGTATTTGAAAACTGTTCAGCCTAGTGTATCTCTGCTGTTTGCAACTTCAAAAATAATGCTCAGGAGACATTTTTGCATGTTAGTCTCAAATCTCTAAAGGCCGATACACACGAGGGATTTTGCTCCCGGAGCATGCTCCAGGCGCACGCTCCGGGAGCAAAGCTCCTCCGTGTGTACCAACGATTTCTTCGGTATACTTCATCCTCGGGAGCACGATTTCCACCCCGCAAAATGCTCCACGATATGTAACCGGTTAAATATTTAGGAGCAACCTCCCATGGTAAATTGAGCGAACTTGAAAACGCTCCCTCGTGTGTACTGACACGTACAAAATGAGCCTGGAGCATGCTCCGGGAGCAAAACCCCTCGTGTGTTTCGGCCTTAATGTTGACACTTGCATGTAATTTCGTTGAATTGCTTACGTTAAGTTCCATAGCGATTGAGGGCGAGTAATTGGCAAAATTAAGCAAAATAAACTGGACTGTCGTGACACAGCCCCTTTAACTCCCACGTTCCGTGTGGTTGGTAACAGCTCAAAAGCTTAACGATAGAAAAGCGTGACACGTTTTTTTTTCTATTTTAAATTTGTTTCTCGTTATCTTTTTTCAAATCATGTTCAGTTTATTTGTGTACTTTACTTTGCTTATTATTTTACTGGTTGCTTAATTTGTAACTGCGTGTTTGTAGCTATGCGCAGACTAAAAGCTGTTTGTTTAAGTCTGGCACCGACAAATGAATTGAAAAGTAATAATAATACTAATCATCATCATCATGTCTTGTCGCGTCAGTAGGCGCATAAAGCCTCCACACTGTCTGACCAACCCTTCTGTCGCGTGAAACAGCTCTTCCGCCCCACTTTGTTTCACTCTTTCTCGACAGTTCTTCTCCAACTAGTTTTCAGTCTTCCTCTCGCCCTCTGACCTTCTGGTGTCTCATTCCATCGAGGCTCCCTTTGTCCTCGCAATCATAACGATGACTACTCTTCCCTGTTGCACCTCATCATCTCCTACGTAGACTACTTTCTCTCCACTTTGCAGTATTACTGATCCAATCCCTTTCCACCTGGCCCCACCTATCCCCAGCACTCAATCCCACACTACATTTCATCTCTTTAGCTACTTGCCCTACCCGTGTTGCCTCCGCCATGGTCCTCACGTCCCAGCAACTTAAGGTCGTTTGTCGCTTAAGGGCTACTATGGGGCCTATCGGCCTTTGGGCTTTCGGCTGGCTTTATCCCAAGAGCGTCATTACAGCTCCAGCTGCGAGAACCCCATTTAGTGTTGTCTCATTATCAACGTTTCCAGTTTCTGCAACAATTACTGTTATGGGGCAGGGTCGTTACCACTATGCCCAACCTGGAGGACCAGAGGTACTAGGAAGTCACTGTTTGTATGGTCTTTACCGTTCGACCTTTTCGGCATAGGTGGCCTAAGCAGAAACTCCAGCCGACATTTTGGGCGAAATTACGATATTTTGTTACCTTCAGAACGCAAGCGTAAGTAACTTGCGTAAGTGATGACTGTCAGCTGTCACATAACCTGTTTCCAATAAAACCCCTCTCTCGTATCTTTTGAACCATAAAGTCGGGCGTTTTTATCTAGGTTTCATCCCTGGACACCTGCATATTAAAGCATGCATTTCTGTGCTGTTAAAAGTACAAAAGCTTTCGCTGCTTGGAGGGTGAGGTGATTTTCCTCTTCTTAAACTTATCTAGAGACCATTCAAGCTAAAACCAAAGAAGGACCCCATTATCTTCGAAGAACCATTTAACTTAAAATTGAGTCGGCCTTGAGTTTTTAATTTCCTATTCCTAACTTCACAGGAACCTTTCAATCAGAACCCCGCTGCTTCTCTTTGCAATACTTATACATTGCCCTCTGATATCCGCAACTTTTTACCGTGCCGTTAAATGTTTTATCATTCAATCATGATTTTAGTATGGACCAAGTACTTGACAAATACTACGACAAACAAAATGCTTTTGACATCTTGATACAAAACGGTGCTGATCCATCTTTGGAAGATAACGATGGGTCTAGTCTGATCCACTCTGCAGCAGAAGGTGCAAATACATCCATTATCATCAAGCTGTTATCACTTGGCCTTGACGTTGATTCAAGGAACAATGGTGGGATCACTCCACTGATGACTACAGCAATTAACGACAAACAAAATGCTTTTGACATCTTGATACAAAACGGTGCTGATCCATCTTTGAAAGCGAACGATGGGTTCAGTGTGCTCCACTGTGCTGCAGAAGGTAGAAGTACCTCCATTATCAACAAGCTGTTATCACTTGGCCTTGACATCAAATTAAAAGACGTCTACGGGGTAACTCCTCTGACAAGAGCAATAGAGAAAACTAATTTTGACGCAGTAAAATTTTTGATATCTAAGGGAGCACTGTAATAAATCAGCGTTAATCGACAATACATGTATTTCTATGAGTATCTTAACAAGGAATTTAGTTGGGATAGCTGCTATTTTAGTCATCGTTTTAGCAAGCGACAGAAACAACCTCTATGATAGCAATTTCACGGATTATTTCACAGGAACCTTTCAATCAGAACGCCGCTGCTTCTCTTTGCAATACTTGTACATTGCCCTCTGATATCCGCAACTTTTTACCGTGCCGTTAAATGTTTTATCATTCAGTCATGATTTAAGTGTGGACCAAGTACTTTTTAGGGTCTCAGGCCTTTTTTTTTTCTCCCGTTCTCTACGCTTCTCTCTCTCTCTTTTGTTACGTTGTGTTACCTTCCGTATTGTTGTATTCGTTCCGACAGAGTATAGTGATTTTGCTTAACCCGTGAAATAGGTAGTAAAATATTACGCACTGTTATGCACTAATTCCATTGTCTTCTATTGTTTACTTGAAGCTTTTTTTCACTAGTTGTTAGTATCCGTTTCACGGGTCAAATAAGACCACTATAATGAAAATAGTAGTTTAAGACGGTTGTTGGTACTAGTAAAAGTTTTTACGCGAGGAACCTTTACCTTTTGCCTGTACCAAAAAAAAGTCAACATCATCATCAGTACTACAGTGTATTCTTATCATCATTATGATTATTTCGATTAATTATGTTTCGAATCTCATTAAAAATATCCAATTATTTCTTTCTAGCAATGAAAATTGTCCTCCAAGGGCAAAGTGTCTCGTCCATTGTTAAGAAGTCTGTTCAAGCTGATTCAAACGAAAGTGATTTTAAAGCTAAATATGAAGTTCAGGATGGTAAGGTGCTTCACGCTGCTGCAAGCATTGGAAACACTGACGTCATCGAGTTAATACTGTCTCAAGGATTTCACCTTGACTCACGCAACAGGAAAGGTGTTACTCCACTGATGACTGCAGCCCTCAACGACAAACAAAATGCTTTTGACATCTTGATACAAAACGGTGCTGATCCATCTTTCAAAGACAACAATGGGTTCAGTGTGCTCCACTATGCTGCCCAAGGTGGAAATACCTCCATTATCATCAAGCTGTTATCACTTGGTCTTGACGTTGATTCAAGGAACAATAGTGGGCTCACTCCACTGATGACTGCAGCCCTCAACGACAAACAAAATGCTTTTGACATCTTGATACAAAACGGTGCTGATCCATCTTTGAAAGATAACAATGGGTCTAGTCTGCTCCAGTGTGCTGCACAAGGTGGAAATACCTCCATTATCATCAAGCTGTTATCACTTGGTCTTGACGTTGATTCAAGGAACAATGATGGGCTCACTCCACTGATGACTGCAGCCCTCAACGACAAACAAAATGCTTTTGACATCTTGATACAAAACGGTGCTGATCCATCTTTGAAAGCGAACGATGGGTTCAGTGTGCTCCACTGTGCTGCACAAGGTGGAAATACCTCCATTATCATCAAGCTGTTATCACTTGGTCTTGACGTTGATTCAAGGAACAATGATGGGGACACTCCACTGATGAGGGCAGCCCTCAACGACAAACAAAATGCTTTTGACATCTTGATACAAAACGGTGCTGATCCATCTTTGAAAGCGAACGATGGGTTCAGTGTGCTCCACTCTGCTGCACAAGGTGGAAATACCTCCATTATCATCAAGCTGTTATCACTTGGTCTTGACGTTGATTCAAGGAAGAATAATGGGGTCACTCCACTGATGACTGCAGCCCTCAAAGACAAACAAAATGCTTTTGACATCTTGATACAAAACGGTGCTGATCCATCTTTGAAAGCGAACGATGGGTTCAGTGTGCTCCACTATGCTGCACAAGGTGGAAATACCTCCATTATCATCAAGCTGTTGTCACTTGGTCTTGACGTTGATTCAAGGAACAATGGTGGGGTCACTCCAATGATGACTGCAGCCTTCAACGACAAACAAAATGCTTTTGACATCTTGATACAAAACGGTGCTGATCCATCTTTGAAAGACAACGATGGGTTCAGTGTGCTCCACTGTGCTGCACAAGGTGGAAATACCTCCATTATCATCAAGCTGTTATCACTTGTTCTTGACGTTGATTCAAGGAAGAATAATGGGGTCACTCCACTGATGACTGCAGCCCTCAACGACAAACAAAATGCTTTTGACATCTTGATACAAAACGGTGCGGATCCATCTTTGAAAAGCAACAATGGTTTCAGTGTGCTCCACTATGCTTCACAAGGTGGAAATACCTCCATTATCATCAAGCTGTTATCACTTGGTCTTGACGTTGATTCAAGGAACAATGGTGGGGTCACTCCAATGATGACTGCAGCCCTCAACGACAAACAAAATGCTTTTGACATCTTGATACAAAACGGTGCTGATCCATCTTTGAAAGCGAACGATGGGTTCAGTGTGCTCCACTGTGCTGCAGAAGGTGGAAATACCTCCATTATCATCAAGCTGTTATCACTTGGTCTTGACGTTGATTCAAGGAACAATGGTGGGTTCACTCCACTGATGACTGCAGCCCTCAAAGACAAACAAAATGCTTTTGACATCTTGATACAAAACGGTGCTGATCCATCTTTGAAAGGCAACAATGGGTTCAGTGTGCTCCACTCTGCTGCACAAGGTGGAAATACCTCCATTATCATCAAGCTGTTGTCACTTGGTCTTGACGTTGATTCAAGGAAGAATAATGGGGTCACTCCACTGATGACTGCAGCCCTCAAAGACAAACAAAATGCTTTTGACATCTTGATACAAAACGGTGCTGATCCATCTTTGAAAAGCAACGATGGTTTCAGTGTGTTCCACTATGCGGAACAAGGTGGAAGTACCTCCATTATCATCAAGCTGTTATCACTTGGTCTTGACGTTGATTCAAGGAACAATGGTGGGGTCACTCCACTGATGACTGCAGCCCTCAACGACAAACAAAATGCTTTTGACATCTTGATACAAAACGGTGCTGATCCATCTTTGAAAAGCAACAATGGTTTCAGTGTGCTCCACTCTGCTGCACAAGGTGGAAATACCTCCATTATCATCAAGCTGTTATCACTTGGTCTTGACGTTGATTCAAGGAAGAATAATGGGGTCACTCCACTGATGACTGCAGCCCTCAACGACAAACAAAATGCTTTTGACATCTTGATACAAAACGGTGCTGATCCATCTTTGAAAAGCAACGATGGTTTCAGTGTGTTCCACTATGCTGCAGAAGGTGGAAATACCTTCATTATCATCAAGCTGTTATCACTTGGTCTTGACGTTGATTCAAGGAACAATGGTGGGCTCACTCCACTGATGAGTGCAGCCCTCAAAGACAAACAAAATGCTTTTGACATCTTGATACAAAATGGTGCTGATCCATCTTTGAAAAGCAACAATGGTTTCAGTGTGCTCCACTCTGCTGCAGAAGGTGGAAATACCTCCATTATCATCAAGCTGTTATCACTTGGTCTTGACGTTGATTCAAGGAAGAAAAATGGGGTCACTCCACTGATGACGGCAGCCCTCAACGACAAACAAAATTCTTTTGACATCTTGATACAAAACGGTGCTGATCCATCTTTGAAAGCGAACGATGGGTTCAGTTTGCTCCACTATGCTGCAGAAGGTGGAAATACCTCCATTATCATCAAGCTGTTGTCACTTGGTCTTGACGTTGATTCAAGGAACAATGGTGGGGTCACTCCAATGATGACTGCAGCCTTCAAAGACAAACAAAATGCTTTTGACATCTTGATACAAAACGGTGCTGATCCATCTTTGAAAGCGAACGATGGGTTCAGTGTGCTCCACTGTGCTGCACAAGGTGGAAATACCTCCATTATCATCAAGCTGTTATCACTTGGTCTTGACGTTGATTCAAGGAACAATGATGGGGTCACTCCACTGATGACTGCAGCCCTCAACGACAAACAAAATGCTTTTGACATCTTGATACAAAACGGTGCTGATCCATCTTTGAAAGCGAACGATGGGTTCAGTGTGCTCCACTGTGCTGCAGAAGGTGGAAATACCTCCATTATGAACAAGCTGTTATCACTTGGCCTTGACATCAATTTAAAAGACGTCCACGGGTTAACTCCTCTGAGAATAGCAATAGAGAAAAATAATTTTGACGCAGTAAGATTTTTGACATCTAAGGGAGCACTAAAATAAATCATCGTTAATCGACAATACATGTATTTCTATGAGTATCTTAACAAGGAATTTAGTTGGGATGGCCGCTGTTTTAGTCATCGTTTTGGCAAGCGACAGAAACAAATGAGCGTGTAAACAAAACTAGAGTTATTTGGAAACTATGAATGTAGTCAGAGATGTGTTTGTTCTTAGCAAGTTTGGCAGTTACCTTGCAAAAAGAACTGATTTCTTTAATCAGCAGAAAATTTGGCAACCGTTTCCCTTCAAACAAAGAAATGTTTAGCAAATACTCCTGGGATTTTAGGAAGAGCACAGTCTTTTAAAACATGGGCTCCTGGTTAAAATCATTCAGCCTAAAAGCATTATTAAGATCAGGTACATGGTTGAAATAGTTGACTTTATTCAGCAGGTAAGCCTAACCCATTTATCAGGGAAGGTGTCGTTCCAGCGATTGAGATCCGAAGTTAAGAGAAGTTTAGAGCAAACGCTTGAAATGTAGCGTCTAAACGAACAAAGTGAATTTGCTGTGCTGTATACATTATACACATGTATCACTGTCATCAGTTATCCACATAACTTTTGAGGGCTTTTTTGGGCACCGCGATGCAGGGAAAGGCAAAGATTAAGCGATTCAATGCTGTGGACACTTAAAATTGCGCTTCTACAAACTCATCTTTTGAAGCAAGCGTACTGTACATAAATGTATGCATTTTTCTTATTCTTTGTACAGTGGAACCTCCATTTAAGGAAGGGACAAGGGACTTGTAAAATGTGTTTGCTATACAGAGGTTTCGTTATATCCAGGTTCTGTTTCAAAGATTTTACTATTACTGGCGGGGTAAGAAAATTGCTCGTTCTACCGAGGAGTTCGTGATATAGTGGTTCATTATATCGAGGATGGAGGTTCCACCGTATCTCTGTCACCATTGGACCGAGAGAGTTTAGTCAGTTTAGTGCTATAAAATTTTTTCTACTTTTCCCTTACCATAACAAAATATTGTATTGAGTATTTTCATAGCATAATAATTTAATGTACCGCACAGGCCAGAGGGTCCGTGTAGGGGGGAGGGGAGGGTGGCCCCTTTTTTGAACTGATGACATAGAGAAAATCTAAAAATTGTAACTGAGCAGATGCAATAGACCTCATTCACTGTACTCAATTGCTTGCCAACATGATTACTTCCAATTCTAAAAGAGAATACTTCCTTAAGTATCTTACTAGACAATACTTTAAGAGAACAAAATATCCATGTGAATGTCTACTATATATGACACGGTAGAATTTTATTGTAGCAGGATCTAAGCCTGTTAAATTTGGCCAGTCGGATTTCGTTCTAACGAAGCATCTAGCGACTGATAATCCGACGGACCGAGGGAGTTTGAGGGAGTGTCTTCGGACCGTCTTCGATTCTTTGATATGGCCGGACTGGAACAAAAAAAAATGGTTTAATTTTATCAACTGAGTCGAGAAAATGAATTTACCACAATAAAAACAGTTTGAAAGGTCGGCTTTTGGATTTTCTTTTAAGGTAGTAAAAGCACTTTGTCACATCAGTCGATAAAACAAAAATTTTGAATCTGGGATGGAGGGTCACGGTGGACACAACAGACGGATAATCAAGTTTTAAAGGAGCTGCGTCAGAACTTTTTGGTCTTGGTTGGACTATATCCAGGTGCCTTGCGAGGTTTTATTGACTTGTTGATTTCGGTTTTTTCCAACGTGGTCGTACAAAAAGACTTCCTGCGCTGGTTTGATTATTATGGACTGGGTAGCCTGTGCACAGACGTATCAAGGGGAAAGAAAGGAAATAAGAGATACAGTTATCTTCATTACAGGTTTTAGAATCTACGACTTGGGTCTGTCCTCAAGGCAGATGAAACTGGTAGACAGAACCAGGGAATGCGGTTGTTTAGGGCTACCACAGCGTGAATATTTAGCAAAAAGGTTTATCAAGTGCTCTTTAACTAACAGTTCTCGACTTTCTCGAGAGTAACAGCTATCCTTCGCCTCTAAAGTTGATGCCTGCCCACACATGGTGTTTGAATTAAACGTACGAGTCGTAAAGAAAATGCAGCTTTTTAATGTTTTTTTACTCATTTGTTTAAGTACATCAATGTACAAAAATTTACAGAAAATATCAATTTAATTGTCTCTAAAACCTTGGTTAAAAGACCAAATGAATAAAACTGAAACACGCAGGTAACTAACATGGTTCATTTAAGGCAGCCATAAAACTTTATGAAACGTTTTTTAGAGTTTCCTTTGGAAACTTGCCAGTGATTTAAAAAAATATAATCAATTAATGTTCCTCCCGACATCTCCTTCAAAAGGAGATGCTCCTTAGACTAATCTTATACTGCGAGGTTTATTCCTGTACAATAAATATTGTTATATTCCTTGATTTTCACTCAACTAAACATGGACTGCAATTGATTGATTCTTGGTCACTTGGCCTTGACTAAAATCAAATTTATCCCGATCGGGCTACATTACAGCACGTTATCGAAGCATGGTGGAAAGTGGCGTGACAGAAGGCGGGAAAAACACCGCCAGGTCCTGCCAGTTTTCTTTTCCGTGAATGAATGAACAAACAAACACAAACTCAAAGCCTCAAGCTAAAAAGCAACGACTTTAAACAATTATTGCATGAGGTTTTTGTGATATCCAGAATAATCAATGTCGAGGTGGGGGTTATCAGCCTCAGCCTTCGGCTTCGGCTGATAACCCTTACGGAGACCTTCATCATTCTGGATATCACAAAAACCGAATCTGGTAATTGTTTTATTTTACATTCAACGAATTATTTCTTTCTCGCTTCGACATAAAATGTATGTTTTCAAAGTTTGTGTCAACTCTTTCTTTACCTTAGGTTCGCTCAGTTTTTCTCTTTCACGTAATCAGCAAACAGCTCCTTAGCCATTTCATCGACCTTTTTGTGTTTTGTGTGTCCTTGTCTTCAACTATTTTTTGGATGACCTGCTCGGTCAACGAAGCAAACCTGGAAGTCATGTTTTTGCTTCTTCACTGACGGCAAGCAACACAAAGCGCGCGAACTTGACATGATTACCCTTAGAAATCATGCACCGCGGTCATACATGACATGATTACCCGTGACCTTGAGTGTCCTTGACATGATTATTGTATAATCAGGTGCTGATTTCGAAAATTCACTGTACGCTTTCGGCCAATCAGAAAAGAGATAGTGAGTTCAATGTAAAATAATTAAAGTTATCGGCCAGAAATTCCCAGAAGAAAAACAGCACCTAGTGGAGGAAAAAGATGCCGATAATATAAGGAATCATTCATTCAGAGGTTTTGAGAATTAAATTTGTGTTGTTATAGGTACCGAGTCCACTGTTTTGGTCAACTGTTTCCCTTGGGATCTGACATTAAGTGTATAATATTTCAACTTTCTCAACTAGGGTTCTGGTGTAAAAAGTCTTAGCATAACAATGGAACTCCGTGAACATAGCACAACTTTGGATCTCCAATCTCTTTTCAACATGTAACTTATTTCTTTTTCTCCTGTTTCTGACGTCATAACACGTGACAAACGACTTGAAGAGATGATTCAGACTTCCCAAAGAGGCTGATTCATGCCTTGTAGGATGGTTTGGCGGTGAAGAGCGAATTTTTCCTTTTAAAGCTACACAATATTAGCTCGATCGTACATCATTCCTGGCAGTCTTATGTTAAGTCTAGAAGAAAAAGAGAAAAAAAAAAGACGCACATGAGGCACGGTGTAAGGTCAGCCTCGTTCCCAGGATTTTCTCTCTTCCTCCCTCGAGGGAGGACGAGAGAGAACCCTGGGAACGAGGTTGGTGTAAGGTAACCTTTCGTGGCCAAGTTTGTCAATGAAAAAACTCAGTTGCTTTGCAAATGAGTTTTTAAATTAAAAGCGGTTTTATACTTCTGTGTGCCTGTACCTGATTGCTCAAACTTTAAGCATTCTAGAGAGTTCATAAAAGAGGGAATCATGACTGAAATAGCAGAGACAAAGACGAGGAGGGATGATTTCTCCCTTATTTCATGCTTGCCGTCGCGCCTCAGTCCCGTCACTTTGGTCTACATAAGAGCATAACGCACTTGTACGGCTTCCTGGTTGTCAGTATCGTTGCTAATGACATTTCTATACTAACTGTATACGGTAACCTTACCAAAATGCACGATTTTCCATTTTGAATTTAATTGGTTTGGAATAAAAGATCGGCGCCTGACTAGTAAATGCAACCGGCCTAAATTTGAATTCGATAGTACGGCTTCTGAAAGAATACCAGCTGAAATAACTTACGTTTTTTGTGTGCGTGCGCTCCGCCATTGACTATGCTGCGCCAGTTTCCCATCACGCGCTACCAGCCTACCTTTCGCAAGAATTAGAACGCGTTCAGAAAAGAGCAATGCAAATCATATGTCCTGGTATAGAATATCAGCAAGCTTTAGCGCTTATGAGTTAATCAACGGTTGCGGAGCATCACCACAACATTTGCACGCGCACGTTTGAAAGCATAATGAGCGACCCGAACCATAAGTTAAGAAAGTTGTTGCCGCCTCTTTATAAGAGCAACTATAATCTAAGGCACGCGCACACCTCCACTTTGCCGCGTTGCAAGACAAATAGATTTAAGAACAGTTTTTTTAGGGCCTCAGGCAGAATTGTAAATAATTTTTAAGTTTCTTATTATACGTTTTTAGTCTTAGCCATTACAATTATTACTCATTTTTACAATTATTAGTATACTGATTATTACCATTATGTAAATACGCAATTCAGCTTATATGCTGCAATTAATAAAGTACCTAACTACCTTGTCGTAACAGTACCCTTCTTTCGAACAAATAGAGCAGCCATGACACCCACGATAACAATCAAACAAAAGCCAACCAGCGAAGCAGAGAGAATGACTTCTTGATTTCTTGAGACGAACTTCTCGTTAGGTTCTGCTCTTTCTGAAAAATAAAAAAAAAATAAAAGTAAGTAAGTGAAAAGGGTGGTTTCATATTTTCAATTCCCAGTTTGTATTTATCAGAAGAGTAAAAAAGCCACAGAGAGAAAGAAATCGTGGTCAAAAAACTACAAGAAATTCTGCTCTTGCCAATTAAAATAATACAAGAACATATCACGATTGACACCCAGGTCTATCCTTCTCTTTTTCATACGTAGGACATACGTTGTTTGATTTGACTGGTAAACCACTCAAAAATTTTTAAATTCCTCTGGTCTATATTCCAACATCTGAGGATAGGCCACGGGTTGAAATTCGCACCCGATATTACAAACTTCTAGTCTTAAATAATTCTTTTCACCTTTTTTAATTTGTTTCTGTTGAAGTACCAATATCTGATCAAGGGATAAAACTCTTTGAAAGGCCTTTAGTGCTTGTCAGGGGGGAAGGTAACTCTATTGTTTTCCACCTAAGTTTCTTGACCCACTCCGCCTGCCAGTATGACGTCACATAGTAACGGGCAGGAGCCTCGGGTCGCTTGTACAAATTAGCAAGGGATACGACAGTTATTTGGACGAGCGAGGTCGAGGAAAAGCTAAGAAGCTAACAAATATCGCTATATATTGCTTATTTGATCGAATGTGTGTGAGCTTTGGTGTTGCTATAATCTGCTTGTGTAAACCGTTTTGATATTTTGTGGCCGTGATTGTAAAATTTTGTTAATTTGTTTTGCGAGCCGTGTTGCGGGATCGTCATCTATTTCACGGGACCGGCAAGGTCATCAAAACTTAAATCTTTTTTTTTCTCTAAAATAGGCAAGGTCTAGTCTCCAGAATAGGAGGTTCCATTCACAGATCATGAATGCTTATATTTCAACTATTCTTTTGCTAATTAAATGGGCCTAACTTCATATCATTCCTTTCGAGTGCGGGCCTCTGTTGATCTCCTAATTCTCCACCAAATTCAGTAAAGCTAGTTCGATCGATTATCTACATCGAGTGAGCCCGTTGAACCGGAAATAATGCGAAATAGCTTTGAAATACGCGCTTAAGCTAGCTTTCCTCAAATGTATATTTGAATTCATGATAAATACAGCTCCACCAGCTTCAAACAGTGTCTATGGTAGAGAAAAATTGTTTTGATATGACAAAATTATTTTTTCAAATCATGTGTGTCACCAGGTGTGTCACTGTGCATGGTGCAGTGGTCAAGGAGTTTCTTGCACGTGCAGATAAATCGGGTTCGACTCCCGGCGACGCTGCGTTCTGTTTCTTCTGTTTGGTCTATTTTTTTTTAAAAACACTATTTTTCCTTTTGGCCTTTTTTCTTTATTCTTACTGCAGACCCTGCTAGTCATTCACTTGGATCAATATATATTTTAAGCTTAAGTACGGAGTTTTATTTTGGAAAAGGGATTTCAAAAGCTCTTGATCTGCATACTGGCCAAGCTTACGACCACATAAAAACCATAAGCTGTCAAGACATGTCCCTCCTCTTAAACAGCTGAATTTTTTTTAATGTTAGTTGACATCATGACAAACACCACAAACTGTATTAATTTACACCCAACACCCAGCAGTGACCCACTGGCGAAAGTTAAACTTTCCTTTTGTACATCGTGTTAATCATCAATATTATTACCCTAAAATCTCCACTGGGTTTGCCCCCCAAAAATAATTAAACGAAACCTTTTATTCGTTTTCGGGATTTAATTACAGGATTACAGGTGTATGCCCAATACAGTATTAAAATGCGGTAAAGCAACAACATTCAGTGCTCACAGTCTCTCACAAATACCTGTCATTTAGCTTCCCCTTTCAACGCTACAGCACTAAGCGAACTTTGAGAGGAATGATACGGGGTTTCACTAGCTATGAAGAGCTGAAAATACACACAATGTAAAGTATAATATATTCTTTGATGAACCTCCTATTGCTGCGTCTAAACTCTTCACTCTTGCTGTGCACTGGCCCTCAAAAGTGTGACCGGTCGGTATGATTGCCTGTAAATTTTGCTCGATGATAGAAAGGAATCTTTAAAATTCATTACACCACTGGACATTTCATTCCAAAAACGTACTTAAATCTAGTTTTCTATGACAATAGAAACCTTAAAATCTCCAAATCCAAGAAATCGGAACGGTATTTCCGTGATAAAATCGAAATTTTTATCCGTCTCTTCGATGGACACTTTGCTCGCCATTTTGAAAGTCACTGACGCGAGACGTGACGTCATACTGGCATGCGGACTGTACCACAGATTTCCTTGGAGACACCTTCCCCGGTGGTTGTGTTTGACGTTTTTGAAACAGGTGTTGAGTTGGACTCTGTCGACGATTTTTTCTCTGTGGCTAAGGGACTGGTATCTGATCCTAGTGGCGTAGAGAATGTCATCAATATAGTGCTGAATGCCGTTTTCGCCGCCGTGGTAGTCGGAGTTTCTGTAGTACTTTATAATGTAGACGATGACGTGGCGGACTCTGACGACGTAGATGCTGTTGTAGCAACTGTACAGTCGACTCTCTCTAAGACGGACACCTTTGGGACCGGCACTAAGTGTCCGTCTTAGAGAGGTGTTCGTCTTATAGAGAGTCAAATAAAGGGAGTAAAGAAAGGCAGGAACCAACTCAAAGGGTCCGTTTTACAGAGGTGTCCGTTAAGAGAGAGTCGACTGTAGTTGCTTCTGTGGTTGTTGTTGGTGCAGATGCTGGCATAGGGGATTCTACAGTTGATAACGTGGCTGCTGTTGTGGCAATTGTCGTTATTTCTGTGGTAGTTGCTGGTGTAGATGATGACTTAGTAGATTCTGTACTTGATGACGTAGACCCTGACGTACTTGTTGTAGGTGCATCTGTGGTACTTGGTGGTAAAGACAATGACGTGGTTGCTTTAGTAGGCACTGTTGTCGTGTATGACGTAGACGGTGGTGTTGTTTCTGCTATAGAAGTTGGTGGTGTGGTTGATGTTACAGTTGGTGACATTGTAGAACTCTTTAAGTTTCCTATTGTCCAGTCATCTGTGAATTCCCAGCATGAAAAAGACGTTAGTTCTGTTTTTCGTTTGTTTAACTGAGAAAGTGAAATGTTCAGTAACCATTCCTCAAGCTTGTCACTCTGACTAGTTAAAATAGAACTTAACCAGGGGTAGTTCACATGAAGTACTGAACAGAGATATGGTGAAGGATGGTTCTCCCTGTTGAATACTTTGTTATAAGGCCAAATCAGCCTGCATTTCACTTTTGATTGGTTGAGAGAAGACCGTTAATCTAAAACAGCAGATAACGAAAACAGAGCATCTGCGAATTTGCT